ATATAGTACTGATGTTGTCAGAGCTCCATGTAGTTACATATAGTAATGGTGTTATATCACAGAGCTACTTGTAGTTAAATATAGTGATGGTGATATATCATAGAGCTACATGTAGTAACATACAGTGATGGTGATATATCACACAGCTCCATGTAGTTGCATAAAGTGATGATGTTATCTCTCAGAGCTCCATGTAGTTAGACATGGTGATGGTGTTATATCACAGTCCTCCATGTAATAACATATAGTGATGGTGATATATCTCAGAGCTCCATGTAGTTACATATAGTGATGGTGTTATACCACATAACTCCATGTAGTTAGACATGGTGATGGTGTTATATCACAGTCCTCCATGTAGTAACATACAGTGATGATGATATATCTCAGAGCTCCATGTAGTTACATATAGTGATGGTGTTATATCGCCGAGCTCCATGTAGTTACATAAAGTGATGGTGTTATACCACCTAACTCCATGTAGTTACATACAGTGGTGGTGATATATCACAGAACTCCATGTAGTTACATATAGTGATGGTGATATATCACAGAGCTACATGCAGTTACATATAGTGATGGTGATATATCGCAGAACTCCATGTAGTTACATAAAGTGATGGTGATATATCACAGAGCTCCATGTAGTTAGACATAGTGATGGTGATATATCGCAGAACTCCATGTAGTTAGACATGGTGATGGTGATATATCGCAGAACTCCATGTAGCTACATAAAGTGATGGTGATATATCACAGAGCTCCATGTAGTAAGACACAGTGATGGTGTCAACTTAGTCTTGATGTAGTTACATATATTGTTGATGTTAATTCAGACCTTCTTGTAGTAGTACATGTATGAAGTGATGGTGTTATCTAACATACCTTCTTGTAGCAGTACATGTATGTAGTGAGGGTGTTATCTAACAGACATTCTTGTAGTAGTACATGTATGTAGTGAGCGTGTTATCTAACATACCTTTTTGTAGTACTACATGTATGTAGTGAGGGTGTTAGCTAACAGACCTTCTTGTAGTAGTACATGTTTGTAGTGAGGGTGTTATCTAACATGCCTTCTTGTAGTAGTACATGTATGTGGTGAGGGTGTTATCTAACATACCTTTTTGTAGTAGTTCATGTATGTAGTGAGGGTGTTATCTAACAGGCCTTCTTGTAGTAGTACATGTATGTAGTGACGGTGGTATCTAACAGACCTTCTTGTAGTAGTACTTGTATGTTGTGAGGGTGTTATCTAACAGGCCTTCTTGTAGTAGTACATGTATGAAGTGATAGTGTTATCTAACATACCTTCTTGTAGCAGTACATGTATGTAGTGAGGGTTTTATCTAACAGACCTTCTTGTAGTAGTACATGTATGTAGTGATGGTGTTATCTAACAGACCTTTATTTCCTCCGGAATGTTATAACGATGATGCTATCAAAGAAACAGCATCTAGTGATGATCTTTGTCAACTTATGATACTAGTATGCAGTGGTGACATTGCATTGTTAACGTGACGTCACTGTATTGTTGAAGTCACCATGAAAGCGTCATGGATGAGGGATTTCTACGTTTTAAAAATATATATTTCAATTCCTACTCAAGTTGGATTCAATGCAACTACCAAATGTAACCTGTTTCATTTGCCGATGAACTTGACCAGATTAATATTGTCTGTGCGTATGATTTTGCGACGGGAGATAACTAGTGACATGTTTAAACAAAGAAGATACCACTTGATGAGATTTTACATATTTTTTCTGAAGCTAGCCAAGATATTGTTCAAACAACCAAAAACGATCAATCAGCAAATATTATCAGCTCACGGTTGTTAGCGGTAGTGACAAGTCATGTACTGCACAAAAACATTCTCCCTCCAGCTACCCATTATGCCTCTTGTGTCACCATCAACACCCGGTACAAATAGAAAAAACCGCAGATTCATGTGGTCCCGTCTTATATGAAATGCAGTCGAACAGCCAACTGTCATATCAAATTGTTTCCTCCTTTCATACCACGTCTGGTATCCTGTCTAATTCAATTACTGCAGCTCTACACTCCAGAATATGTAGAACATTAAAATTAAGCGGCTCTCCACTTCGAGCTAGTAAAAATATGGCTGCCGTAGACTCGCAGCTGAGCCTGCGCACCGCGTCTAGACATTATTCTTCCGCGATGATAGGTCAGAAAATTTGATTTGTTATGAATTCATCAACAAATTAAATATGACATTTAATTATTTTTTTCTGTTTTGTTTCTTCATATTTTGGCTGTATTAAACAATCAACGTACACCATCTTGTTGTATGATGGTCCTTCAATGACAGACTATATTGTTTTTACATAACGTCAATACGTAGACTTGCACATGCTCCAGAACCTGGGAAAACTATCAGAATGTACGTCACACGTTCCAATCATTGAAAAAAGCACACGTTGATTGAAATATCAGGTTTGAATCTTGCTTTGGTCGATTTCATGGCTTGATTTAATGTGCATCGCAGTTCATTAAATTTGTTTCAAGACCAACTCAATTCATCACCTCATGAAATCGATCAAAGCAAGATTCAATCCTTAAACCAAGATTTTCTGTTACTTAACACGACCTGCTTATCTCAGTCAAAGGCTAAGATTCCGAAAATAATCCCAACCGACGGACAAGCACGTTATTAGTTCGGAAAAGAGTCGATTAATCGTAGTTAAAAAATACCTGAGGATCTTGGGACTCAAGAGTTATATTGTTTCTCCACTACTACAGCTGCATTTGAACACTTCCGCGTTAAAAGTAATCCTCGCTTATGAAGGTGAGAGATTATATGTATTTCACCGCGAATGAATAAATCGCCATGCGGACATTCCGTCAATGTAAAGGTTTATGACAGGGCGAACGAGATACGAAAATCTACCAAAGGGGATTTTTCTGTCCAAAGTGCCAGAAAAAGATATCTCACAATGGGAAAACTGTTGATACACTAGTCCAGATTAAGAAAAAGGATTTCACTCATTTCCATGTGTGTAAGATAGAGCTGTCCAGGGTAAGAAAGGGGTGTAGGAAATGTCTATCTAACACCCCATATCACGTGACGTGACGTCACAATGGCTCAACACAGTGACGTGACCTCACAATGGCTCAACAGTGACGTGCTGTCACGAATTTGGAACTCTCCGATGCCACAATGGAAAAAGGCGACGTGATGAAATTAAAACCTCTTACGATATATTTACCATACACGTTAGAATGATTTGATACATTTTTCTGCGCAAACACTGTTTGCAAATATGCGATATGCTAGATCTGGCTGGCTAATTCGTTTTCGTCTAAAATGCTCAGGGAAATAATTGATTTTTTCAAAATGGTGGCCAGTCCAAACGCATTATCATGGTTTCGGAACTAAATACTCTTTCATGCGCACGGATGTAGGATAGGGAAATTCCACCCTCGGGTTTCTCAAATTTGGCAAAACCCTCGGGTTTTACCAAATTTGAAAACCCCTCGGGTGGAATTTCCATATTCTACACCCCTGTGCATGAAAGAGTCTTATAAACTCACATCCGTACATGATCTCTAATTCGTAAACTACATTTTTCTAGATACTAACTACGGAGTGCATATAAAAGATTATATGTTTAAAATGTCCAGTATCTTATCCTCTGACGTTCTGAAGCCTAATGTCATCTAAATGCGATATGTAATGTAATGAAATTGTCATTTTTAGTCATTGGAGAATATTTACTACCAAAACCAATTGTCACCTAATAAAGCCATAGGCAATGCCAACATATTATACAAGCTTGCTGTGTTTCCAAAGCCCTCCATTTGGTAACATTTAGCGATGATACTATGTAAAAGACTTCCATGTATTAAAATATAACTTATGATGTCATTATCATTTGCTTGCCTTAGATTTAAGGCATACAAATGACTTAATTTCAACGAGTCCATTTAAGATTAGTATAAAGTAATGGCGAGTGTCTGGATGTGAAATATATTTAAATAGGAAAGAACGCAAATATGACGATACAGCTAAGCATGTTGTCATTATAATTACCTTTTGGTGAATTTATGCAACAAAAATATTTTAATACACAGTTACTGAGGAAAGGTCATTGTCTCGTGTGAAGCTATTTTCTGATAAGCAGTGGAACACCAATGGTCGAAATAGCTATATGCTGCAATAAAGTGGGCCCTTTCTGCAGCGCCAAATATCTTTTTTAAATACTAGTAGGTGTTTTGTGCCATTTTGTTTCTAGTACATTTGTACTTCGTTCATAACAAAACTTTTACAAAACAAAATGTCGAAAAAAGTGCTGTGCATGAAATCTCTATTTTAAACAATTCGTGTAAGGAAAGCAAACTGTTCCCCTTATAATTTTTTTAATTATACATGTATCTGCAATCATGATTAATCACTAAGTATGTCTTTTTAAGTAAAGTTGTCTTAGGAATGCTCTTATAAACGAATTTTGTTGGTCAAGACAATTCTGTTTGCTGTCTTTAGGGTTGTTGTTATGAAATATCTATAATTGTAAGAATGCTGGCTTTAAAAGAATTGCTGTTTTTTTCAACGCTGCCCTCTGGTTTTTTGACAACGCTTTCTTAGGAACCGTTATTTACTGACCAACCTTGCATGGTAACAACGTTGTCTTTAAACATGTTGTTTCATGATAAACTTGTCTTGGCTACGTCGCCGTCGTGTATCCTGTTGTTTCATGACAAATCTGTCTGTGTAACAACGCTGTGATTTGTCAGGCTCCGTACTGGTGTCTGGAGTAACAACACTTCAGCGAACGTCGCGAACCCTGCAACACGGAGACGTGTCAGCGAAGGAAGCAAATCTCTGGGATTGATACGGCGCCACAGTAAACTCTGGCACGGCAGTGGTGGCATCAACAGTTTGTAGTGTTGCTGTGTTGCACGGATCAGATCATCCGTCCCGAGGAATCTCTCAATACAATTAATGTATTGAGTTCTGACAATTCATTATACCATATTGATGAGCCTACTTTAACTGCTGCTCCGTAGAACTGCGCATCACCACTATACTTGGTCTGTGGCGGCAAGCGCGCGCGACTTGGCTGTCGTCTGCTCCTCCACTGTACCACTTAGAGAAGCCAGGGGGTATATCACAGTACTCGTTGGAAGCACACTATAACATTGGAATATTTAGGAAGGTTCATACCAACATCTTGTCACCAGCTTTATCATATAGGTAAGTACATGATGTAATATCGCTGTTTGTTGAATCGAGAACGTTACTGCAATTTTCACCTGTAATGTTTAAACATTCATTACAGTTTCACTGTGAATCTTTTATAGGTATACATGCACCATGACATTTCAGTTTAGTGAATCCACTTTTTGGCTGTACATGTATGACGATTTCGGTATTCGTTAAGTTGGTGCAGCACTCCTACCAACCAGATGACCGCTGGTTGCCTTGGTTTCAACATTTTACCCTCAGTTCACCTTCTCGAGTTCCTGGCAAACTTCCCAGTTTGTCTCTTTACCTGTAAAGATGATTGGGAATTGGAAAAGCAATTGCACTTGTCTATATGTGGCATATTTCGATTTTTTCTTTACGTTGATTTTATTAAAGTGATACTTTGTTGTATTTTTCTTTCTGCAAAGAACGTTAGTATGCAATCCTAAGACACGTATCGCATATTTTCGGCAATATGATATTTGGAATACCAAAATAAAATTTACGTTGGTATGCATACATATACAAATGGCATTATATAGAATATGTAAGCAAAATACAAATATTCCAAACAATAAATCACGAAGTCACAACTTGCTGCTTTAAACTACATTTTGCAGTAAAAGGAAGAAAGAAAGTATCATGACTAAAATAAACCCTTAAAAAGTTTAAGTACTTTGATATTAGTCTATAATTATTAAAGATTTGAGCAATATTAATATTTCGCAATGAAAAATATAATCATGTCAAAAGGCTATTTTTTTTAGAATAATTGCTTTGTGTTTCATAAATAATGTGTTTGTTATAGCAAGTTTCCGTCAAATACTGAATGAAATATGTGCAATAAGATTCGAAAGGTGATACTTTGAGGATTGGTTTTCAAACACAACATTTGTTTGTGAAAACATAGTGTCTTCTACACCTGCTACATGTTCATCACTCCTAGTCAACAATTTTTACTCTGGATTGTTTCATTTGAAAAAACACACATAGTGGCAAAACAATAACTATTTCGCTATATGAGAAACAATGTATCCAGCTCGCCGCGAGTTAATTTCACGTAACAACCCTTCTAAAGCTCATTTATCATATTGAGGGTGAACGAAATAAAAAATAAAATGCAAATCGTTATAAGTCGCTACTGCTTTCTCTATGACAGGTATGCAATTTATCAATCACATCACGTGATTTATATTTCCTGGTAAAAACAATAGCCAGTTAGCCATTGTTTTGTCACCATGTTTATTTAGCTATCATTACTTATTTTCAAATAGTGGTAAGACACTCGGTAAATTTTGTGTCTGTATGCGATTTGAAATTTTCAAAACCTAGAGATTTATAATGAAGATTCACCAGTCGTTAAATAATCCTTTATATAAACATTTGCTTTATCGCAGCGTTTACAAAAAACATGACTGAAAAATATTTGATAATAATTATTAATATTTGACATCCTAAATACTGTGAAAGAAATTACCAAAAGACGGCGATATCATAAAACTAGTAACACTGTTCAGTATCTACCTTCCGACGGACAGTATAGGATCATCTTTATCTAGCCCCACGAAATCGTCAGTTAATTAGGAATCTATACTTAAATCAACGCATTCAAGCGTTTTTTACATGGAAAGATTAAAAACAATTCAGATTCGTGTGATGAAATAAAATAAAACAAAACTAAAAATCTGAATAGTAATTGTTGGATAGCTTCTAGTAGGACTATAGTCATGGTGAGCATTGACAAACAAATACATGTATATAAATATCGGATTCAATTATTTTAAATTAACTATTTTCTTATGTTATTTTTAATGTAAAATAGATCAAGCATTTTCTACCCTTTCTGTAATCTCAAGATTAAAAAGCATGACAAGACAGATGATTTCACAACAAAAAAATGTTCAAAACTATTTCCTTTGAAACCATTGATTCTTATCTTAAACTTCGGATTGCCCGAATGTTTTTATTGTAAAATAAGTAGATATGTTCATTTTTAAAAGAGATATTACATATTTCGTTGAATATGAAACTCTTTGGAAATAAGATGCATGTAACATATTTATTGAGAGTAATAACAATACAAACAGCTGATCAAAGTACGTATGGTGTGAAAAATATTTTACGATTGAGGCGAGTTGTTGTTTATTAGAAGTGCACGGACATGTTGAACTATCATTATCACTGTATTTACGATACAAAGTATCCAATTCATTTCCTTCTTTCATGGTCATATGTACCTTTAAACGTTTAATTCTGAATGAGAGAAAGTCTCTAGTGTGAATTATTCAACACCGAGAAGGCAAGCCCTGATGGGTTGTTCATGTGCAGCGTTAAAGAAAGTGCAGGTCATGAGAAGCATGCACTTAAACGTATGCAACGACTAATGACAGAAACTAAAGGTATAAAACTGCTTCGCTGACTCCATCCCAGGGTGTGCCGGTTGATTGCACATGGGAGAGAGGTCTACCTGTGCTGATCAAATGTACGCTATCATCACATCTTCATCACATCTTCATTACGCCCTAAGGAATAGTATGCACTCAGTAAATCGAAACAGCAAACTCAAATACACATATCGATTTTTTTAACTTTGAAAAATTCATTCCAATAGGCTCTAAAGGGAATTTAGAAATGTTCATTAATGTAATTTCGATAGCGTCATTTGGTATTGTTGTGACAGCTGTAAAGACAATGCAGGGTTTCATTAAGATGTTAACATGTATTTGTTTCACAAGAGCATTCACTGATATATCAGCATGTTATTTTCATATAAAATTTCACAAATCTAGGTGCTGTCTTGTACCTGGAAACATAACACCATCATTGAATGTCTGCGGTTCAGTTTCATCCCTTATCCCGTAACACAACATTTACATTCAGTCCGTCACACATATATGGTTCAACATTACATATTATCTCAGTTTATGACATTTTATGTACTTCCGGTAGTCTCGCTCCATATATGACAATGTAATGTAGTCTTCAGAAGGTGACTGAATTTCCTTTCGTTGGAGTCAACATCTGATTTCTCTCTCTCTTTTTCCGGTCTATGTTTTGTTCACAAGACGTCAAACACTTCGAGAATGTAAAAACAAAAAACAAGAGAATGTCGCAGCAATGAAAAACCGATTTCGAACTCAAAATAGATAAAGCTAGGGCAAAATTTGAACAAATAATGTTCAAGGAGAATAGGACCACATGTGGCGGAAGAGTAAGCGTCTTTTGTTTTTCTTTGTAAAATAAAAGTGATGCATGTCACGTACTCAAAGTCAGAACCAGGGTAATAACATCGAAGCCACAATGTAGACTAATAAGCATAATAAACAGATATCGAGCTTTATATCGCACAAGAAAATATAATATTTCAAATGATATCATAATGGCGACAAGAAAACGTGCAAATAATCTTCATCACCCTGCATCTCCCGAAAGCAAGTCTTGGATATCGAATAGTAAAGTATTCATTGAACTTTGTTTATATTTAGTATAGCCGAGAAAGGAAAACCAACAAAATGTATGAAGGCAACATAAACTCATATTTTGTACTGAATCCTCATCATTATCAAAGTCTTCACTACTTGATAAAAGACACCGAAGAAGTATAATGCAGCTTTATGAAAAATGTTGTCCTGTTATATATTTGAGTGTTAATTTTGTTAATTTCCTCCATTCGTACCACCCTTCCACTATGACACAACGAGCATGTTGTGTTACCGATACACTTATTGTTAACGGTAGTAACATATCGGCCTTGGCTAGTGAATTTACCGCCACTGTAGCCTTGGAACTTGGCAATATTGCTACATGACAAATTTAGGGAACCGTCACAGCACCACAGGCTATAAACGGGAAGTCCATAGGAACGATGTATGGAAGGCCAAGGCCGTCGATTTGGTCACAAAATCTGGAGCGCATGACACCAGGCAATAACTCAAGGAAACTCGTCCCTGCTTGCCCTTTTTTCTTTGAACACGTTGTTTTATAGTGTAACACGAAGAATATTCGTGTTTCTTTGTTCCCATCGAGACCACAGCTTACACTAATTTTAACAGTCAGGTAACACTTGAGTGGTATCAAATTCAATACCGAGGAGAACTTAAAATAGCGAGGGCTACACCAAATGAAAATCAGAATCACGACAAAAGAAATTAAATGTTATAAAGAAACCACCTGCTTCTGGACCACCTAACCCGATGGTAGTATCCATGCTTTATTATAAATGATGTAGACAAAGTGTTCCGAATGCGATATCCGTAGTCTTATGATAGGTATTATCCCGTGGAAACAAAAAACAAACAAAAAATGTCTGCATAGCGGTATTTCACTGTATTGCGGTCGCATTGATCACGAATGCGCAGTAACTATAAATTGGTATTATTATTTACATCATGGTTTCTGGAATGGAGCTATTTGGAAGAATTTCACAATTGTTCTATACTATTTCAGGACACTAAAGGCAGTCCTGAATGGACAATGGTCATAAAGTGCAGTTAATTTGTTCACTATAAAAAGTTATAAGTCGATTTCAGTATCGACTTCGAGCATTTTTAAATACATGTTTCCTGACTTCGTATTCCTAGTAATTATATCATATATATCATGACATTATCAGGCGCTTAAATATGGTTAAACATCCGTTTGAGCTGGAATTTCGGAACAAAATGGTGTTACTGTTAATTAACTCCATAACTTACCGATCGGTTACAGATTAACAATCAAGATAACATTGTCATTGATTAGTAGAAAACGGAAAAGGCTGACAGTTAAACGAAGATTGAATGATCGACCCTTCTAAATGTAGGTCTAGTTCTCTGGCAAAATTATCGTACTATGTACAAGCGATACCATTATGACCGATATTGCGCCTTTTTAATAGATTCAATTTTAATATTATTTATATTCTATTATAAACACATTGAAACAACTTTACTTCAGAACGACCTATA